AACATTATAAGACAGGGCGGACGAAAGCCATGCTCAGAGAACTAATTTTTATGCGTTTTTGCATATGTGCAAATGCGGGAACGCATATTGTGACGATCCATGGCATGTGTGTGTGCATGTGTGTATATATTATGTGTGTGTGTGTGCGTGTGCATGTGCGTGTGTGCATGTGTGTGTGCATATGTGTATGTGTGTGCGTGCGTCCGTCCGGATATTTCAACTCGGCAACTACGCAAGCTCCGACGGTAAAATTTTGCCAACGAGCTTCCCCGTCAAGTGCCACCCCCGGGGCCGCAGTGCCAACCCTCATGCACATCTGGGCCCCGCGTATGACTGCGTGAGAGTCTTGGCGGGAAAACCGCCAACTCGGAAACCAGGAAAGCTGTGAGGCTGAAATTTTCAGGAGATGTTTATCGTTCAAGTAGAACTCAAAGATTCCAAATTCAGCTGTCGAGTGTGTGCCTTCCTTACGTACGGCCCTGCGAAGGTTTTTGGTGGGAAAATCGCTAGCTCGGGAACCGAGAAAGCTGGAAAGCTGAAATCTTGAGGGGGTGTCCTCCGTCCAGTTAGAACTTAAAGATTCAAATTCAGGCTCCAGGTATGCGTGGTGCTCACGTATATCCTCGTGAAAGTTTTTGGCGGGAAAATCGTTAACTCGGGAACTAGAAAAGCTGTAAGGCTGAAGTTTTCAAAAGATGTTCCCAGCCTTCTTAAAAGTCAAGGGTATCAAATTCAGCTTCACCTGGTTCTTACGTATGGCCCCGCGGAAGTTTTTAGCGAGAATATTACTAACTCAGGAACCAGAAAAGTTGCAAAGCTGAAATTTTAACGGAGTGTTCTCTCTCCAAGTACCTCGTAATTGCACAATTAACTTCCCAAACTCCGAGGACAGCATATCACAATTTCTAGCTACTGGGTTCCCGAATGACTTCACAACAGCACGAAATACTGCAAATACGCATGATCGCGTAGGCCCGCCTAGTGCGCGTCGCCAATAATTGAGCATCCAGACTGTCACACTGGTACGCTGTTTTTTTGTCGAGGAACACAGCTGTCCGCGTGGGTGATTTGTATGTGTAAATTCCAGCAGGACG